CTGGTTGGGCATTCAAGAGACTGGGGGTCTAAGTTTGGACCTTAGACTAGTTTGGCTGGGTGACCATGGGCAAGTCGCTTCCTGTCCCTGTGCCCCAGCTTCCCCATCTGTAAAATGAGGACAACGAATGATACTAATGTCCTTTATAAAGCACTTTGAGATTTACTGATGAAAAGTGCTAGGTATTAATACGAGTCTCATAAAACACCAGGGTTCCAGCAGCTGGGGCTTTAAGAAAATCACTAAAAATTGTGAGATTTGTAATAAAAATCACAAGAGTTGGCAAAACTGAAGACCAAGCCTTTTGGGTGCTAAAGCAATAAGGATCACTCTAGTGAGTACACAGCCATGGCTCCTTTACAGTCGTTAGCTCAGATAGGATGGTTATATGATTTGAGCGGGGAATAAATGGCAAGTGCAGATGGATCTTGAACAAAACATCTCCTTTCATATAAAGCAATAGGATGGAGGAGCAGAGCTCCTATATGCACGTAGTTGTGCAGATGCTTCTAAAAGCCACTGATTTCAGAAGTCTCTCACGTTCTTTATCTGTTTCTAATCTGACTTGACAGAAAAAAGACCTGAGTGGCTTTGAATCAAAATCCAATTCACATTGCTGCTGTAGACAGCATCATGGCCAGTTCTCACTGCGTTCCTAGCTAATGGTACAGCTCCCATGGACTTGAACGGGACCAGGAGGAGGACTTGGGAAATCACTACAAAATCAACCCACTGGTTTGTGCAGCAGGTAAACTAATATAAGCTGCTTGCTGGCAGCCTTGCTCAGTCCCTGGAGAGCACAGAGACGCTGCTGCAGATACAAGTTCCCTTTGATGAAGCGTGTCTTGATTATTAATGTACTTCTGCAAAACCAATTGGCCGAACAACCACTATGGGCAGGAAATTAGAGAGAGGCTTAACCTGGGAGGCTCAGTTCCTCCAGCCCCACCTAACATGGCAGTGTTCTGGCTTAGGCCCATAAGCAATAGGCCTGATCCTGTGAGGTGCTAAGTACCCTTGACTCCTATTCAAGTTAATAGGAGTTGCGGGTGCTTGGCACTTTGTAGGAGAGGTGTAGCCCCACAGGAGCAAGACTGATGTTACCAGGTTGGAACTGCTTTCGTTACTCGGCATCATCCCTGTGCAGCACAAGGCCTCTGCACTACTTTAAACTTATTGCGAGAGCTTAAGCGGCACTTAAAGCATGCATAGACCTTGCATCTTGAATTTCATATATTGAAATTGAATATAACGCACAGGGAAATCGATTACACACAGAAACCAACAGCCTGATTCTCCACTGCCTTGTACCTGCTGTTGTCACGTTGCTTTGCACTGGTATAAGTGACTACACAAACTATAGGGGAATGGTCATTCAGACCCCAAGCATATCAGATCAAATCATAGGTCCAGCAAATCCCTCACCCTGTGTCTGGCAGGGGTCAACTCCTTACCGAATAGGGCACCAAAGCCAGGCGCCTGCAGGGAAGCCGAGTGATAGGATTCTGTGTGTTGTGCCCACGGACTGTCAGGCGTGTTATTAAATCCTGGCTCTGACATTACACCTGACATTTCAGAATCAGGGCCCCACTGCTCAGAAAGGTAATTGCCAGGCAGTCTGGGATCCAAGCTGCAGGCTGGAAATTGCTGTGGACGTTGAGGTGGTGTTTTGGGACAGGATTAGGAAAGGCTCACAGAAAATGTAGGCGGAATTTCATTTTCATGGAGTGAGAAGGCCAGAACATTATTGCAAGACAAATAGTGCAGGACTGAACCTTAAACCCTTCCATTCTCATACTGTATCTTGAAATTTAAAGTTTATTTTAGATAAAACCCTCTTCCCCAAGGCAAATATTAGATACTGGGATATGGAGCTTTCCACCTTTAGCTCCAATCTGGCCCCATCTCAAGGGGAAAGGATGGCTCAGGAGGATCCAGAAATTGGACACAAGGAGGTTTCTTTCCCCTCCCTTGAAAGCAACAGCTCTTAGCAACTGTCATTATTACAGTAAGATATTTCCTACAGTTCCCAGCTGAGATGAAAGCTCCATTATCTAGGCACTGTACAGACACATAGTAGGAGACAGTCCCTGCCCCAGCCAAAGGTGCGGAACTTCACAAGGCACAGAGAAGACTATATGACTTATTCAAGGTCACACAGAGTCTGGGACAGAGCCAGGAATTGAACCTAGATGTCCCAAGTCACAGTCCATGGCCTTAACCACTCGACCCCAGCCAGGACACTGGACTAGATGGCCCAATGACCTGCTCTGGGCTGGCAACTCCTATGGTTCCATGAGACGTTAGGCCCTTGCAGGTTTAACCCACTCTGACTGCTGTTTGCCAGCTGTGCTGATTAATTATGACACAAGGTGGGGACTGGTGCCTCTGATACCAGCAACCTGTGCTCCGGCAATTATTATTCCTGATGGAGCCCTGGGACTCTGAAGTGACTCTAATCAGCGTTCGAGCCAGGATGGAAGCTTATGCTGTGCATTAAAAAAATCCCTTCTGTTCTGGGATGGGCATGCGGCACCCATGACTCGTGGCAGGCAGTGTAGGAGCCGGGACCTTTTGGCTCAGTGACCGAAAAGCATCCCACCGGCTGTAATTGCATTCGGCAACTGACCACCAGGTGCGAAGGCAGCTAAGCAGGTGGCTGCTTGGTAATGAAAGAATCAGATGAAGACAGTGCTTTTTAGGCTTTGTGTCCTTCTGACCCAGGAATCTCTTAGTGCTCACTAGCAAGGGGCACAGAGCAGGTCCTCATGGTTTCAGCAATCTCCTGCGTGTGGGATGTACATTCTTGTCCACCACAGACTGTCATGTGAGGTCTGAAATAAAAGAGTGAGCCATGCACCCTGGCGACTCTGAGGTCTGTGCCTAGGGACTGGTCACAAGCAAAGGTGAAGAAAGAGGTTTCCTACTAGACAAGAAACGTTTATGCAGCTCAGGGATGGGGGAAACTTTTTTCAATCGGGGGGGGGCCACTGACCCACAGTAAAAATCAGTTGCAGGCCACGCACAGCCCCACGCAGAGGGAGGAGGCCTTGAGGCTCAGGGCTTCCCCCTGCAGCAGGGTGAACCAATGCTCGCAGCTCCAGCCCCGTGATGGGGCATGTGGAGTCTCGGAGCTTCCCCTAGACTCCAGGGTGGGGCCAGAAATGAGGGGTTCAGGGTGTGGGAGGGGGCTCTGGGCTGGGGCCAAGGGGTTTGGAGTGCGGGAGCAGGCTTAGGGCTGGGGCAGAGAGTTGGGGTGCGGGAGGAGGTTTGGGGTGCAGGCTCTGGGAAGGAGTTTGGGTATAGGAGGGGGCTCAGGGCTGGGGCACGGGTTGGGGTGCAGGAGGGGGTTGTGACCTGGGGAAGGGAGTTCAGGGTGCGGGCTCTGGTCAGCCAGTGCTTACCTCTGGTGGCTCCTGGTTGTCAGTGCAGTGGGGCTAAAGCAGGCTCCCTGCCTGCCCTGGCTCCGCACGGCTCCCAGAAGCAGCTGCCATGTCCGTCGCCTAGGCAGAGGGGTCAGGGGGCTCTGCATGGTGCACGCTGCCTACTCCTGCAGGTGCTGCCCCCGCAGCTCCCATTGGCTGCTGTCCCCGGCCAATGGGAGCTGCGGAGCAGGTGCTGGGGGCAGTGCACGGTGCTTCCCTGATCATCTCTGTTCCTAGGGGCCACAGGGATATGTCAGTCTCTTCCAGGAGCTGCGTGGAGCCGACCAGACTTTTAACTGCTTGTCAACCCCAGCTTTCCCCCACAGCGAGGCAAGCCGGTGCTCGCGACTCCAGCCCTGCAGGGGTCAGGAGGGAGGCCTGGGGCTTCCAGCCTGCGTTGCAGAGACTTGCCATGGGCTGGATGAAATGAAGCAGCAGGCCGGATCCGGCCCGTGGGCCGTAGGTTCCCCACCCCTGATCTAGCTTGTTGTTTACATGCAAATTACTTATTGTATAGTTCACAAGGGTTCTCTTCTCACCAGTCTGAACTGACTGTCAATGAAGGGTCGGAAAAACTTAACAGCAAGAACCAAATAAGGGAGTGGGGGTGAAAGGAGAACCTTCTCAAGATGCACATCTAAGGTTTGCTGTACTACAGCGGGGCAGGGGGAGACAAAGAAGTAATTGGATAGCAAGTTTGCTGCATGAAAGAGGGGTCTCCCAGGTTTGGCAGAGAATGTTGGGTTAGATCCGCTTCTTTAGACAGGAGAATAATTTGCATGCAGTGTTATTGTAGCCATGTCGGCCCCAGGATATTAGAAAGACAAGGTGGGTGAGGAAATTAGAGATATTACCAGGAGGATAGTTGTTCATTAAGTTCAGTGTCCAGGAAGTGTGTTATGATTTTGTTTTATACATAACCATTTGTTTCCAGCAGTCTGACGCACGGTCATTTGAATCTCTGCTCTTTGATCATCAACTTATTCTTGTTTTCACCACCACAATACCTTCGGGCTCTGGTGTTAACTGAGAATCACCAGTGTGACAAGCTCGTGTGTGCTGTTCCTTTTGGAACAGCAGCCTTCTCACTCTGTGAGCCTTCAGTGGGGAGGTGCTGGACTCTGCAGGGATGCTCCAAGGACGCAGGGGCCGGGGTGAGCCTATCACTACCTGTACAGAGACTGTGCGGCCTGTGGAGGCCTGGAAGGGAGCGCTTGTACTACTGCAAGCTGGTGGTTGCAGGGAGCTACTCCACAGCAGGCACAGGAAAGAAGCCCTCACACCCCAGACCGGCGGTGCAGAGGTGCCTCACAACCCTGGGTACCCCTGACGAACATGACTGTCCTCAGCCAAAGAACGTCGCAGGCAAATCATCTTCAGAAGAGAGAGCCCCTGCCCTGATTGCCTGCAGAAGTGCCCAGGGACCTGTCACTCGAACGCTACGAAGAGTTTTAAAAAAATTAAAAGAGGAAGGGAGTGGAAAAAAAGAAAAGTCAGCGTTGGTCAAGGGAAAAGACAAAGGAGGCCCAGGAAATATATTTAAGCATTTAGAAGTTTGGGTTTTTTTAATTAATTGATATCAACCAAATAAAAAACAAGTCAAATCAAAGGGCCAGCCCAGTTGGTGTAGCTCCATTGAAGTTGAATTAGGTTTTACACTACCTGAGGATTTGGCCCTGTATTATATTTATTGGGTGTTCTTAATTACTCTCTCCTCTAATGGGAGAACAAGGGGAAGCCAATGAAATGGAAGGGCACAATTATCGCTGCGAAACGGAAATGCTCTTTTTACACTAGCTGTGAATAACCAGTGCCACATTGTATCAACACAGCCAAGAGCTTTGTGGGATCCAGAAGGGAAGAGACCTTTGTATGGATAACAAGAACATGCACAGTTACATTAGGCAGAATAAAATGTTGTAAGGAATATAAAGCTTCATGCTTCAGGACATGACAGTCACTAACTGATGAGGATTAGGAGGAACATACCTATATGAACAGGTTGTCAGTGACCCATGTGAAATGTGCAGAGAAGGATACAGGATACTGACTAAGAATGGATCATTGATTTGACCTGCTGTGGCAATTCTGATGTTCCTAAGGAAAACTTAGTTAATAGCATCCCAAGAAATCACAGTTTCACTTCAGTATATTCCACGGGTTTGGAAGATACAGGGCTCGAGCAGGTCCAGAAATCCACCTTCCTTTTTTTGGGATCCACATTGACATAGTCTTCTCCCATCTTCATGTTCTCATAGTCCTCTGCAGTGCTTGCGCTGCGACCGGTAACTTGGAAGACCAGGGATGTGTAATTGACCCCTTCTTCTGACCGAGGACACTAGCGTATGACAAATAGAAACCAGAGCAGAATTCAGTCTAGTCTTCACAGGCATTATCTGTTCTGGTGCAACCATCGTGGCATGGCACACTTTAGGGGGTCATACGATCTCTAAGCTCACTGCACAGATCTCACCTGTCTCACATTTGCATACCACAGAGAACAACTGCCGTTCAAATCTTAGTGATTTCACTCACTGGTTTAGTAAGATACTGAAGTGAGTTTGCTTGGGATTTTGCTGCCATGTCAGCAGTTTGATTTTGGATCAGCAGCAACACGTGGCAATACCGCAGATGGCATGGAGATCACAAACGTTCTCCGTGTTGCTTTTCAGTGTTTCACACACACACACACACACACACACACACGATGGATTCTGGAGTCCTGGATCTGAGTAGCCCTAAAATTCAGGTAGTATGTATACTCTTACTGGCTCCCTCCCCATCCCTGAACCTCAGTCCTCCCCTGCTTGTTTCTCATGTTTCCTCCCCCTGACCGGGAAGTACTCTGCAAATCACTGATGGCCCAAGCACCATCATCTGAGAGCCAATGTTCTAAAGTGTAAACCTGGGGAGGATGTCATCAATCAGTAGGACCAGGAAAAATTGCATGTTTGTCATCTAATCTGGCCAGCTGTATCCTCTGCAATATTCTCACTCCCATTTTGTCTCTCTTCTCTTTAAGTCCTGATGCCCACACCTGTCCCTTGGCAGTCTGCTGAATGGCGCTGAAGCTGGGAGTTAGGCTGAAGTCCTGTGGGGCAGGGATTGTCTCTTACTATAGGCCAGATTTCTATGAGAGTTCAGCTCCTATTTGTGCACCAAATAAGTGGGGAGGTTTTCAGGGGAGCTCATCATACTGGGTGCCGCTGAGCTCTTGGAAAATCTAGTCAAGTGTCTGGACAGCAGCGTCTAATAAAACGGGGCCTAGACCTGGTTCAGGGTATACATTATGTCTACATGAAAAGAATAAATAATATGAATAAATAAATAAGAATGAGATTGGTGCAATTCCATTACCTGCCTAGTGGAAGGGCTGCTGTCTGAACTCTCAGAGCTGTCTGAGGAAGAGCCACTGTCACCTTAAAAAAAAAGTGTAAACATTTGCACCTATAATAACTATAAGCTAGAGAATGGGCAGGGAGAAGAGATGAATGAGAAAGTGGGTTAGCAGTCGACAGAGGATTTCGCTCTCTCTCTCATATGGTGTGGATCTATGCACATGACACTATTTCTCAAACAATCATGCACAATTCCATTTTCTTGTCTCTTGGGGGTTCCAGTCATGAGTCCAAAATGGGGCCCAATCCTGCTATCTTAATTTCTTGGCAAAGCTCCCATTAACATCCGGCGAGGGGGGAGGCATGACAGGGTTGGGCCCTTTAATTGTTTGGATGTGATTCTCATTTACATTAATGCCTCTTTACACCACCCTGGCACTGTAAAGGGGCCTTAAAATGAGCATATGGCCTCTTTATATAGCTTCATAGATTCTAAGGCCAGAAGGGACTGCCTGCATAACACAGGCCATTGAACTTTCTCAAAGTAATTCCTAAACATGTATTTTAGAAAAACATCCAATCTTGATTTAGCAATTGTCAGGGATGGAGAATCCACCACGACCCCTGGTAAATTGTCCCAAGAGTTAATCTCTCTGACCAGTAAACATTTACATCTCATTTCCAGTTTGAACTTGGCCAGCTTTGGCTTCCAGCTACTGGATCATGTTATGTCTTTCTCTGCTGGATGAAAGAGCCCATTATTAAAAATATTTGTTCTCCATGGAGATACTTATAGACTGTGATCAAACCACACCTTAAGCTTCTCTTTGTGATGCTAAATAGATTGTGCACTTGGAGTCTATCACTAGAAGGCATATTTTCCAAACCTTTAATCATTCTCATGGCTCTTCTCTGAACCCTTTTCAATTTATCAACATCCTTTTTGACTTGTGGGCACCAGAACGGGATACAGTATCCCTGCAGTGGTCACACCAAATACAGCCATAAAATAACCTCTCTATTCACTCTCAAGATTTCTCAGTTTATGCATCCCAGGATCACATTAGCTCTTTTGACTGCAGCATCTGAATGGGAGTTCATGTTCTGCTGACTATCTACCACAACCCCCAAATGATTTTCACAGTCACTGCTTCCCACGATAGAGTCCCCCATCCTTATGCTGCCAGATGTGGTATAAAGGGGCCTTCAGGCTTGACTATACATGGAGCTATTCCTGATTAACTCCATGTGTGGGTGTCTTGTTCCTGTTTAAATTAACGATATGGTTTAAAGAAAAGGAGGACTTGTGGCACCTTAGAGACTAACAAATTTATTTGAGCATAAGCTTTCGTGAGCTACAGCTCATTTCATCGGATGGCTATGCTCAAATAAATTTGTTAGTCTCTAAGGTGCCACAAGTCCTCCTTTTCTTTTTTGCAAATACAGACTAACACAGCTGCTACTCTGAAACCTGTCATATGGTTTAAGGACGTCCCTGAATAACTCCATGCATAGACAAACCCTTAACAGAAATGAGAACCAGGCCCTTAATATATTCCAACTCTGCAGCATTATGGTTGATTTTAAATTGGAAATTTGAAATTTTGCTTTTCATGCTGATTTTTTTAATGCCCCCCTCCCAATATGTGCAGTGAAACTCCACTCCCCCCTGCTGCCTGACAAGAGGCATTACTGTACATCAGCAATATTGATCAGGGAATTCAAAGGTTCATTGCGTTATTGGCTCCCGATGATCACATTCTCTAGTATGAAAATGTAAAATATGAAGAGTGCTGGCGTCAGAGACCCTTATCCGCCTGCCTGGAGGACTGAATGGAGAAGAACTCATCTGGCAAATGGAATGGGGAGGGAGGAGGTGATGTGAATTGCTATTGCATATAGCTCACTTGTACAGGTCCTTCATTCCCCGTCCTAAAGCTAGGTTGTGTTTGCTGCTGCCCAGTTCTACTGCTAACATACAAAGAAAGGCTCATCCCTTGCAATGAATCAGGCTGATAGCGAAGTATTTTCTTAGCGAGTTAAAGAAGAAGTTATTGTATAACGAATAAACTGTTGTGTAACGAATAAATTATTGTAACGAATAAACTGCTCTCCCCCCTTTCTCAAACACTGAAATACGAATGCAGGACCCACACCTTATGTCACTCATCATTTGCAAAACGAGTGCAAAACGTGTGTAACACACTACCATAGCATGTTAGACTCCCTTAGCATGGGTGTAAGTGTCAACTTAAGGTGAAACGCACCTGATGATCACTTTAGATAAGCTATTACCAGCAGGACAGTGGGGTGGGAGGAGGTATTGTTTCATATTCTCTGTGTATATATAAAGTCTGCTGCAGTTTCCACGGTATGCATCCGATGAAGTGAGCTGTAGCTCACGAAAGCTTATGCTCAAATAAATTGGTTAGTCTCTAAGGTGCCACAAGTACTCCTTTTCTTTTTGCAGTGGTGAATCTGGCCCTATGTTTCCAAATACCTGTCTGCAGGAACAAGTACCCGAGGTCAGATATTCATCCAGTTTCAACTGGCATTGGGCCACTGAAGTCAATGAAGCTATGCCAATTTGCAACAGCTGAGGAGCTGATGCAAGCACAGATTTGAAGATTGCAGGCTGCACCCACTGAGCTGAGACTTGATTGTTTGGCCCCAAAGATGCAATCTTACCCTGGATGCGTGGCCTTTTCAAAACCTCCTGTGCTGCCTGGGAAGCGTTGGGTTGTTCTGGTTTTGTAGAAGGGCTGCTGCTCGCCTGATTGCTACAGGAATGATTGTCTGAAATGGAAAGTCAGATTTGCTCGTTACTCCTGCTACTGTAGGGAAAACATGACAAGGGCTGTCACTTCAGGGCATGAGCTGATCACTAGGCAGGGACAATAAAAAAATCCCTCCTGCTATAGTATAATGGTGCACAAGGGGCTTGGTCATTTGTGGTTTGTTGTCATTTCTGTGCCTCCCACGGGAGCACACAGTACAGGGCATTATAGGAGATGGTGCACTGAACGACAAGCAAAATTGGTCCCTCCTAGAAGTGCCCAGTGCTTACAAATATGAAAAAATGAGAGTATTGGCTCGAGAAAGTTCCACACACACACACACACACACACACATGTACACCAGCTATTCCAGTCCTGCTCTCCCCACATCCAGATCTGCTAGTGCCCCTCAAGCCACATCCCAGCAGCCGCGGTTATTCCACTCCTGGGACTTTCACACACGATTCCACCACTGCACTAGAACCCAGTCCTAGAACATCTCATGTCAATCCTGTGAGGGCCTCTCCTGAGCAGAATATAACATAAGAGTCAGAGTGGGCTATTTTATTTTTGAGGTGAACAAACGAGTGAGAAATTACTGAAACTATCAAACTGTGATCTAAAGCAGATTTGGGCTCAGATGTCTTGTGGTGAAAGGTTCACTGTGCTTCTGAACCTCCATCTATACAAATACAAGATTGAATTAAGCAACAGGGCTGATTGGAACATGTACTATATACAGTGCTTGGACAAATATGTTTCTCACTGGAAAATGTGGTTTAATCAAAATCAAATGTTGATTTTGATGAAAATTTCCCACATTCCAACAGGGAGAATTGAAACAAAAAATGTTTCAAATCAACTTTTTGAAATGCAGTGGAATTTTTTGTTTTAAAAGTCTATTCAAAAGAAAAAAATTGTTTTGAAACAAAAACAATAAAACATCAGTCTATTGACTTGTTTCATTTTGATCGAAAGTGTCAGAATTTTCCATTTCAACATTTCTGATTCAAAACTTTTTGGAGTTTTTCATTTCACAATTTTTGTAAAAATATTTTTGACTTCTCATTCTGACCGGGAGCAGAAAATAATTTTGAAGCGTTGACATTTCCTGTGATAGGACAATTTTTCAAACAGCTGTAATATAGACTAGTATAGACTATTTCATGTGTAACATGTCCTGTCAGACATCTGACAATATGGGCCAAATTCTGCTTGTCTCACTCATGCAAGTTGCCCCGTTGACCTCAGTGGGTCTACTCATGTGAGTAAGGCTGGCAGGATTTCAGCTTACTTGGTATGTATGTGATGACGGCACAGGGTACCTCGACATAGCAGCTGGGAGGAAGAATTCTCAGCTCGGGTAGCCATACACTCAGTAGCTCTGCTTGTGCTAGTACCTAAGGGCTTGTCTACACCAAGCAGCTTCTAGTGACAAGGCCTTGTTGCTAAAAGTCAGCTTGCGTAAACGCTCTTTTTCAGCACTTCGTCGGCACTTTTGCCGACAAAATACTTCCAGCCCCGCGAGCGGCATTAGCTTTGTTGGCAGGAGCAAAGCCGCGTGCACACTGCCCCGTGCGTCGGCAAAACTTGTGTCTTTCACGGGGTGGGGGGGGGGAAGGCGCTTTTTTTAAGTACCTGTGAAAGACAGAAGTTTTGTCGACAACTTAGCCGTGTAGACAGGCCATAAAACTAGCAGAGCGGCCTCAGCAGCGCTGGTGGCGACTCAAGCTAGCCGCCGGGCAGTCGGGCGGGACGGTACTTGCCGTCCAGGCTGACTCAGTGCTGCCACAGCTGCTGTTTTAGGCACTAGCTCAAGCAGAGCTCGAGCAAGACATCTACCAAGTTGGAAATCACACCTCCCCCACTGCCGTGTAGACATACCCACAGTGTCCTGTTGTCATGTGGTGGTGCTGTAGCAAAACCACCCAAATGCTGATTCTTTAACCCCTGCCACTCCTTGCTTTTTACCCCCAAAATACATGACTTGTGTGGCCTCCGCCCATCCTGCATTCCGCACACACCGGGCCAGAACCTCAGCTAGTGTAAATCAAAGCAACTCCTTTGGCTTCAATGCATGACTTTAATGGCACTACGATTTACACCTGCTAAGGGACTGATTCATCTGTTTTTCAAATCACATTGGAACTTGTTTAAAAAGGACCCCCATTCATTCTCCTCCCCCATCTCTTGGAGTGCTTGGCATTTCATGAACCAGGACTAGCCATCACAATTCAGCAGTTTGTGACCCTTAGCAAACCAAAGAGTTACTCTTTGTTGGCTCTTGGGCCAAATTCGTCCTGTTCACTTAAATGGATTCACACCAGGGATGAAAGGGGCACATTATAAATGAAACCAATAAGAGATGAAATTACCTATTTTCCTGCTGAGCTTGATGTAAAGCACTACTAGGAGAAGAACATAGACAATAGAGGTCACACCTGAGCTGAGAATGTTTATCCACCAACAATCACATGGGCTAAGGGAGAGAAAACAATCAGGTTATGTTAGATCTTTCAAGTGCTGGTGGGCTGACATGGTTTCAGATAGGACGTCGTTTTTAAGGTGATTTCCCAAAGACTTTGGCAAAGATTTTCAACAGTGACCAGTGATTTGAGGTTGCCAAGCTTTTGGGTGTCCAATTCGAGACAAACTAAATCTGATTTTGGGTGCTCTGCCCTTTCTGAAAAAAACCAGGCCCCTTTAAGGAATCTCAAGTTGAAAGGCACACAAATAAGACAGTGATGAGCATGGCATAAGAATCTATATAGAATAGGATAGAAATTGGGCTCCTAAAAATGGAGACATCCTAAAACCACTAGTCACTTTTGAAAATCTTGGCCTAACTGACTATCAGACCTGGGTGTCCAGCAAGAATACATAGTTGCCCCAGGGATAGCCAAATGCAGATTTTAAAAATAAGCAGAGAGGAGTCCAAACCCTTTGGAACTGAACAACCCTTGAATTTTGATGTCTTCAAAATCTGGAGCCCATTTCTAATTCTACAGATCGGGTTACAGGGGAGAAGATCAACCACCCAACTCCATGGGGAATCGATCATCAACTCCCTTTCATAGCAGGTTTCTCCCTCTAATAAGCAGCACTAATGGCCACTGCTCCATACTGCGGTTGGGAGCACCACAGAGCTTACCTGGGACAAGACATCCTCCCAGCAGAGAGTCTTCACAGGCACGACAACTGCTGAATGAGTTGCTGAGGGTTTCTAAGGAGAGAGAAGGAGACAGGGCAGGGATATCCAGGGACCTGATAGCAAAGAGGCACCAGTGTCTCTGGGGCCAGATGAACGCACAGAGGAACATGGCTGGGTCCCTCAGGTGCCGATAAAACAATAATAATACTGTGCACGTCTGTATTGCAGAACGGGGGGGAAACTCAGGAACAGGAAGGCTGAGCAATTTGCCCAGAGTGACACAAGGGCTCAGTAACTGAGCCAGGAATGGAACCCAGAATGCCTGACTCCCAGTCCTATGCTCTGACCACTAGACAAAGCTCCCTCCTGTGCATCTTGGGCTGTCTGTTGCACTCCTCTTGGCTTTCATTCCCCTGGAGCTGCCCTGAGCCACAGAGGTTAAAACCATGTAATACCTCAGGGGACGCCCTACCTCCTGCCCCCATAAATCAGCTACCAATAAGGGGATCAATTCATGCTAACTATGGCACCGGGCTGTACTGGGCAAATAGCAGTTCCCATAAGTCTTTCTGACCATCCACTGAACCTCATGTGGACTTGAGTGGGTGATGCTTCACAGCCAGCTGCAATTAGGGGACAGAACTGATGGAGAAAAAATGCAATCATCTCAGCAGAGTGATGCAACAAAGAAAAGAAATTGATGCTGCACTAACACGAACAGAGTGGCAAGGGGATAAAAAAAAATAGCAGTGGAATGGACAGAGGGCTGGAAATGAGGGAAAAAGTCGGGTTAGGAGGAGACTTTATCGTCGTTAGGCCAGACCCCAGCCAGCTCCATTGACTTTAATGCCAATTTCCACCAACCAAGGATCTGGCCCATTAGGTTTCTACAGGGGAATCAGCCGGGTGGGACTTTTCCAAAGCTGCAAAAATTAGTTGTAGGAAAATAAACAACTAAAGGGCCTTCCTCTTCTTTCTAATTCATGGTCTATCTTTTATGAAGCGTTGTTCCTAGGCCTATCTAACGCATTCTCCATTATGTGACAAACTCATTGAAACTCACCAGGTTGCCATGGGATATCCAAAGGGAGAATACAACTCCCTTTGGCTTGTAGGGGAGGTTTTCCATTGACTTCAGTGGGAGTTGGAGCAAGACCTGGGAGGGGAATCTAGTTGTAGGCATGATAAGAATCCAGATATGCATCGCGCCTGTTTTGCATTGTAATGGCCCCTCCTGTTGTTTGTACATGTAGTTATTTCCCATATGCTTTGCCTTACCCCAATTTATTTTTTTAGGTATCACCATAATAAAAATGTTTTAGAGGGAAAAACAAAGTGTTACTTTATCAGACAGGCCTGCAGTGACAGGTGCTTAATAAAAACTCATCATAGTCACAGATAATACAGAACTGTAAATAATTCCCCTGTCCCCCAGTGTCTACCTCCATTAGACAGCCACTATCAGCTGACACAAGAGCAGGTTTCTATAAGGGATTCTCTACATAGTATATAAAGAGAGGTTCCTGAAAAGGACTTGACACCAATGAGAAGCCTACTTCTTATCCAATTTTAACGTTTGGCTAGATGACACATTGTCAATGCAAAGCTCGGCTGTCTGCAAACTGTGGCCCTGTCGCATGACAGACTCTTCTCACTTCAGCGGTACTTCTGATGGCAAAGAACATCAGTGTCATTCTGAAGAGTACGTTTCTCTATGGGTCCTGAAAGGTGCAGAGCAGCGACAATTTCTACTGTAGTCAGTGGGAATAAAATTGCACTATCGGGATTCAGCATCTAACAGTGCTTGGTCCAAATGGTGCAAGTCGGGCTCAAAGTTATTCAATAACGAAAAATAATACCTAACTCTTATATACTGCTTTGCATCCAAAGATCTCAAGGTAAGGCTACTGTAGCCTCAAACATTCAGACTGTTACTTGCAAACCCAGAGCTCCATTCAGCATCCTCTACTCACATGCGTAGTCTGTACTCACATAAGCAGCCCCACTGACTTTGGTGGGTCAGTTATGTGACTAAGGCCCATAATTAGCCATTGCTAATGAGAGAGAGCAAATATTCAGTTGCTAATTTTCAGCTGCATGATGTGATAACAAACCAAGTGAGCTTCTCTCCGGATGAGGCATGAGAGAATTTGCAGAGTATTATGCAAATTTTGTTTTTTAAAAAAAATGGCGTATTTGGCTTTCTTTGCCGGGGGTTGGGACTTCCATAGAATGCTCCTGCATTGATCCAATGCTGTGCGCCACTGAGGCATTCTTTGGGTATGTCTGTACCATCTCCCACAGCGAGCCTCCCAGCTTGGGTGAACAGCTCCGAGCTAGGGGGGGTTTCATGCCAGCGTTCTAAAAATAGCTATGTAGACAGTACTTTGAAGAGCCGCTCAGGTCGGAGCTTGGGCTCTGACGCCCAACCCGCCCCACCCCAGGCTTTAGAGCTTGAGCCACAACTTCAAAGCACTGTTTATACAGTTATTTTTAGCATGCGAGCCTGAGCCCCACTCACCTAAATCTGTCCACCCAGGCTGGGAGGTCCCAGATCAGGAAAACACTTTGCCTCCAATCAGTGCTCCCTGAAGAGGGATGCTTCTCCGAACTGGGGCCTTTGGGCCATGATATAACTGACTGTTTTCCATGAGTTTTACCAAAAGACGACAACACCCTCCAGAGTTCTGTGATCCTGGGCATGAGCTCCCAGAGGGTGCGGGAAATCATTAGGGTGTCTCAGCCACCTCTGATAACCATTCCCAACACTGAAAAACAGGAACATTTTGTGGGGTCTTTCCAGTGTATATGCTACAAAGGCCTGTTCTACAAGGTTTGCTTGGGTGGAGTTTTATGGACTTTAACCTACAACTGGGAACCGTAATCATTACACTCTGCCTAAACCTCACTGGCCATGCTTTCAGAGTTAAAATCGTCATTACTATGTGGGGTAGAGACATGACTCTGTGGGGGGGAGAGGTGCACGTGTGCATGTGTGTCCAATGCCCTTCTCAATGGGGCCCTCATCCTTGACTGGAACTTCTGAGCACTACTGCAATCCACTAACTCACCACAATTATAAATAAATAATAATAAACCTAAAATTTGTTTTTCATAATTTTATCCTTTTTTTTAAATGCCCAAAAAAGCATTTGATAAATACAATTTAAAAAAAGATTAAGTAACAAATAAAAGCTACAGACCATAAATGTTTAAAGTTAGGCTCCTAAACCAATCTTCAGGCATCTAAATAAAGGAGGTTGGATTTTCAATGTGCTGAGTTCCATCAGCTCCCAATGGGATTCCTGGGTACTCGGTACCTCTGGGGAAAAAAAATCACACCTCTTTTATTTAAAGCCGAAACGTGGACTTAACAGCCTAACGTTATGTACTAAGACGCAGACCCTCAAAGGTATTTAGGCACCGAACTCTCATTGATTTCAGTGCGGGCTGGGCACCTAAATACCTAAATACAAAAATACTTTGAGGATCTGGCACTCGAGGTCCTGATTCAACAAAGCCCTTAGGCACTTTTGAAAATCCTAGCCGAAGCTAATTAGGTGCCCAAATCCCATTACAAATTAATGGGAATTGGGCACCCAATTCCCTTATACTCCTTTGAACGTCCCAGACTTAAACATGTGCTTAACATGAAGTTAGTGCTTACATCCCATTCAAGTTAGTGGGACTTAAGCACACAGATGAAGTTAAACATCTGCTCTGCTGCACTGGGGCCCTCAGCTTGAAACTTTTGGCCATAACATCTGAGAGAATTCAACTTTATAACTAAGGTTGACAAGCCAGATTTAATTTGCATTGTGTGTTTTCAATTTTGTAAGGGCATGTTCAGTTTTAGATAAATGCTTTAAAATGATCGAATAACTAAAATGAAATAAATGCTTTTGTATAATTACTAACAACAAATGTCTCCTATACAGAGATAGGTTTTAGAGACTATGAGGACAGGAGACTTAGAAACGAGAGGCTCCGTCTGCACTGCGGATCAGAAAATGATTTTCTATTTTGATCCCAGAACAGAATTTCCAAGAGTTGCTCAACCAAACATTTCTCGAGAATCCCATTCAACGTCCCTCTGAATCCATCTTGGATATAATTCTACTTACCCAAAGAGTTAGGCAACTACCAGACTAGAAGTCCATTTCTTGCTTTTTTTCACCTCCCCTATTGAACTGATGCATCCCCCGAAGTATCCTTCTTAGATGGCTGTCATTCTTAAATGGTTCATTTCCTATTGCGGTACAGGAGATGATGCTGAAGCAGATAGCAATCTGAAAAGTGAGTCGGTGTAAAGGAAATTACAAAGAAAGACACAAATCCAAAATTCACTAGCAGGCATCTTCTTTGCTTACATGATTATAGTTAGATAGAAGAGATTATTTTAAAAATGTATTTAAATATATATTTTAAAGATAAAACCTAATGAGATATTGACTGCAGCTGCGCTTGCTTTGCTCATTATGTTCTTTCTGTTGTTGTCCCTCCCCCTCTCCCCCCCCGCCCGCCCTCCGCCCTCTTCCCAGCATATTAACACTGCAAATTTTGTGAAGCCTTTATTCCTGTTAGGAGCTCTGGCTCAAGGAAGATGCCCAATTGAAATCAAGGATTTGCGAGGAACTTGTACTACTAATGTCTACTGAATGTAGCAATCAAGGGATATGTGCCTGATCCAAAGCCCACTGGAATCACAGGAAAGACTAGATTGATGTCAATAAGCTTCGGATCAGGCATTATGGCCTCAATTCAGCAGAGTGCTTAAGCATATGCTTAGAGTGAAGCATGCATTTCAGTGCTTTGCTGAACTGGAACTTATATGTACAGCTAGAGCCAAATCTTGCCAGCCCCTTTGGTTTCAATGCCATATACGCTGCTCTAGAGGCTTGAAGCCAACGGAGTGGTGCAAGCAAACCTGCTTGTGTTTTACATTAGAGATTCAGGCCTTGATTATGTTCATTTTCCTTCAGCACTCCTGAGCTAGGAGGATGTCCAAGCCTCGTCTAGATTAGGATTTGAAGGGGGTGATGTTAACCCATTCTAACACAGTTTAGAGGTCCGGCATAGACAAGACAGTGTAGGCTTCACAGTGTGCTAACCTGGCTGAGTTGAAGCACAGGCTCTCTTGAGTTTCACTGGGCCAGTGTATTGCACATTAAAGGCAACGTGCCTTATCCACACTAGACTTTTAAAGCACATCATTTAGAACTTGTGAATCAACCTGTTCCAACAACACCCCTTTTATTCTGGTCTAGACAAGGCCACACACACCAAGCAAGTGACCCTAATTAACTGAGTGGAGGAGGAATCATTATTCAGACTGTTTAAAGCTTCTTGGATTGTTGTTAATATCTAATTAATTCAAAGGCTTGAATAAACAATAGGAAGAAAAGCTCTTTTGTTAAAGGTTCACCATTCCTGCACCTTCCAATCGGAGCTGAGAGGGCCATGCACCATGTACCTCCCATCTGAGCTTTGTCTAGACTGGGATTTCAAGGGATGCTGTTAAGAACATAGTAGCTAACTAAGAGGTGCTAACCAATGCAGTCTAAAAGCCTAGTCTAGAAAAGGCAGTGTAGACTTTAATGGCGATAAAGAGTCTCACCTCCCTTTGTAAACCGCTTTGAGATCTACTGATGAAGAGGGCTACATAGGAGCTATGTATTATTAATTATAATTAACATGCGTTAAGATGGTGGAGCCCCTGGGGCTGTGAAAGGCGGAAGCGGTACACATACCTAGTGCTGGCCCTGTGTCTAGGGATTCTCATTCCCGGGGTCCTCCAAGCAGTGCGGCTCAGAGGATTCAGGGAGCCTCGGGCAAAGCAATTTCGGTTGCCCCTTCCATAAAAAAAGTTGCAATACTATAGTATAGTATATTGCCCCGGGGTCTGGGGCAAATTGCCCCATTTCCCCCCTCCTCTCCCCCCCGGGCGGCTCTGCCTCCAAGGAAAGTGCTAATAGAAATCAGGAAACACAAGACTGGACCTTCTTGGCATTTCTAGAGTAAAAGATACATTATTAAAATTAAAAAATTCTCAGGACTTTTCCTAACCCATTACGAAGAAGGAACAAAAAGGCACAAACTCAGTTATGTTCCTTCCCCTATGCAGATTCCCTTTAAACACTGGACCTAGCTGTGTGAGGGGGCTCTGAGTTACATGGGGATGAAACATGCCCTTCAGTATGTATTTTATTTATTTATTTGCTCTAATTTAGAGTTGAGACCATCCCTTCTACTGGCTCAGTTTGTCTGGCTTCCCCCAATCTGGTTTCCCCGCATTTGCCTGGTACTGCTGGCTTTGTCACAATTGTCAAATGACCCAGTGTCTGTTCAGTAGGAGGCTGCCCACTCATGTGGGCTGAGTCACCTTCATTTCAATACTGCGCAGGTCCCCATCCTTCTGGGACAGGTGGTTCGGAGGGGGTGGCAGACAAGATGGGAGATGTCAGGGAAGAGAAAAGGGGCGGAGAGCACAGGGTGCGTGAGAGGAATTTCAGAAGCAGCGTAAAAGAACAGGTTTGCCTCTGTAGAATGGAAGGCAGGAGAGGGGGAAGGGTCAGTGGCAGTGAATCTGCTTAATTGAAAGGCTGCATAGGATTAAATAAACCTCACTGTGCATTTATCTATAGTATTTATAGATGCTGAATTCAAACCAAAATTAGGGGCTGGCAGAACATTAGCAATGGAAAGTCCCATACTCCATTGCCAGGTCAGAGGCTATAATGAAGAGCATTAATTATTACTACTCATATTCCAGTATCCCCTAAACGCCCCAGCTAAGATCAGGGCCCCATTGTGTTAGGTGCCGTACATACACATACTAAGGAACAGTCCCTGCTCTGAAAAACTTAACAGTATAAAGAGACAAGACAGACAAAGAGGCGGAGAAAGGAAGGATTATTTTGCAGATGGGGAACTGAGCCCCAGGGAGAAATTAAATGATTTGTCCAATGTCTCACCGGGAGTCAGTGGCAGAGCCATGGATGGGCTCCAAATCTCTTAAATCCCAGTCTGGTACCTTAACCACAAGACCATCCTATCTCTGTAAAACATCCCTCCTGTCTGATGAGCATGGTGCAATAACCTAGTCAGATATCTAGATTGGGCAGATAAGGGGTTCAAATCCAGCCCTGGGCTGGGTAGTAGAACTGGTAGGAAAACAGGTTTTCCATCCTACAGGAATTTCTGATAGTCCAGCATTGATTTTCATCCTGAATGAGGATAGGAAAAAAAATCCACATTTCAAACATTTCACAAAATGAAAAATTCAAACAAATTCATTTCAGAAATGTTTTGATATTTTTGAATGAACAAAACCCTTGTGACATTCAAAGCTAATTTTTTTTGTCTTGCACAGTCGATTCAAAACAAAAACATTTTGAGTCGACATTTGGACTTGATATTAATTCAAAATGAACATTTTCATTCAGATTTTTCTGGACAGAAAATGAAAAAATAGAATCAATAATTGATATTTTCCCACCGAGAATTTTGATCAAAGCCACATTTTCCTAAGAAAAAATTCAGTTTAAACTTTTCAACCAGCTCTAGAGCTATTGCTAGTTGCTGACTGTTTAATGACCCATATGAAATGAGTTTTGTGAATCTCAGCCAGATCATAACACAAAACCACTGCAGTAAATGGCAGATTGGCTGGCTAAAAAGGCCAAGGATTGATGAGCCCTGAACTCCCCAGATTAGAAGACCAGCTCTCCGTTGCCTATCACTTTGCTTGTCCTGTCGATAACGAGGTGGCAGAATCCAAGGGTGTCAGCTTCAAATCCACTTACATAAATTGCACTGGTTTGTGCTTTAGTCTATTGGCCCTGTGAAGCAATCCCTTTCCCCTGGAGGTGTGAGAGGGGAATTCATGCAGCTGAAGATCAGACCACTGATTAAAAAAAATACTGTAACAGTGTGTAACGGTAACAGGAAGTGGCTGCTGATCAGACATCTCCACAGGGCTGCTGGCTTTATACATGTTGCCTAATAGAATAAACAGCCCTTGTGGGACCCTGCACCCCCTGCTTCTCCTTGTCTCACTGCCATCTTCTGAAGCTCACAGAGAAGAGCTCGAGGCAGTTTGGTTTGGGGTTGGTGGAGGGGTAGCTGTACAGTTAAATGCAATGGACCGACATCTCTTGTTGATTTCAAGCTTATGCTGTGTGTCCATCTTTCTTGCTCTGGGAAATGAATGACCGTTTTATGGGCGGAAATCCGCCAGCTGTATTTCTACACACAGAGATGTTCAGCTCGTGCAAATCAGCCTTTTATTTATTATTAGCTGTCTTCCAGTAGCCCCCAGGAGCCTCAATCAAAATTGGAGCCCTGTTATGCGCTGCAGCCTGAAAAAGCTTACCATGTGCATAGACAAAACAGATGAAAGGTGTGAGGGGAAACAGGCACAGAGCGGGGAAGTGATTCACCCACTGTCAGTGGCAGAGTTGGGTATAGATTCCCCCCTCCCCCCTCGGCCTGTTGAGGAGCCATTGGGAGGAGAGTTAGAGGCCTCAGTCCAGCTGAGTGGATACATTAAATATTCGCCACCATAGCTGGCACCTTTATTGGCCGTCTCAGCAGGGAGGCCAAAAACTGGCTGGGTCCTAGAGAAGGTGTCTGCAAGGCAGGATTGAGGCATCTTGGCAGGGCAATATGGGGAAGGTTGCCCACGCTGCATATGTTCTGTGGAGAGGGAGAGGATTTCTTTCTCTAGGGCTGCTGTTAATCTGGCACCTCTCCCCAGCAAATTCTCCTCAGCCAGTATCAATCAATCAATGCAGCTCCCTTGAAGTTAACAGAATCATGTCAATTCACGCCAGCTAAGGATCTGTCCCACTCGGTCTCACAATGACAAAGTGTTCACAACAACAGAAAATTGTACCAGACTCTGCACATTAGCACACCTGAGAGACAACACAAATACACTTTTATTCCAAGAAGTTGCATCAGAGCATTTAAAAATGTACAAAAGATTCAACTGGTGAAAGGAAAAATAACTATCCAAATACAGATATTCCTATTTTTCCTAATTTTCAATACAAGAAGAAACATAAGGTAAATTACAGTCCCTGTCAGTGTGGCTGTGATTCCTTCTAGGCTCTCCCTTGCAGCTGGCATCTTGACATGTGCCATGGCAAAGCTTGGATTGCTAAGGATCTGTAGATATAGGGTCAAATCTCCAGCTGGAGTTCATCAGCAGAACTCTATTGGTTTAAATGGTGTGATGCTGATTTACACTAGCTGAGTCTTGGCCCACAGCCAACCCAGAGAAGCA